AGTTTGGAAAGGTGTCAGGTTAGGACATTTTACATAGCACTAGGTAAAAACATTCCACTAGCCCAGGTAAAAGAAAACCATGAGTTCTGCTCCATGTTAATGCCACTCAGCAGATTATGCAGATTACAGACCTTCTGCAAGAAAAAGGGACACAATTTGCCCCATAGGCTCACTGCATGTTTATGTTTGATAACCTAAACTAGATCAGGAGCCATATCCCAGTTTCTGCCATAGGGTGCAGAGGTTCTTGCCAGGAAACATGCTGCTTTAACATTTTGGATCAAAATTTATTGATGCAGCAGGTGACAAGATCAGTAATTCAATGCTCAGAAAAGACTGGATAGATGGGAGTTGAGGCATGAAAGGAAAGATCTAAGCAGGCACTTATTTTTGGTACAGATATTCATTAAGTTGTTGATCAATGACTTGCAGGTGTGACAGAATGCTGAAAAATCTGAGGTTACTAGTGACAGATCTTGCAGATGATAAAAGTACCAGGATAAGATATACACAGGCAGCCTGATGTGAATCCAAAAACACAACCAGAGCCACAATTGTCACTGACCCTTATATTCTTTGGGCAGAAGACTCTCACAGGGATGTCTTCCTGGCAAGGACTCTGAACAAGGAGTTGGTTCTGGATGCAAAACAGGCAATCTGAACTTAAGTTCTGTTTTCAAAAAAGCATCCGCTTTTCCACAGCTCCTGGGAAGTCTAAGCATCAGTCATTTGCTGTTTATTTGTACAGATATTTTCTTAAATAAATAAACAATAGATAATTATCAGATAATGAATAATTTGAAAGTCATTCAAGTTTTTTCAAGCTTTATTAACACGTTTCCCAGTTGCTGGGATTATCAATACCCCAGAACCACTGCAGTTGAACCCAAAACTCAGTTTAACTGTGAAGAGAATTCAGTTGATTGGGCAGGAAAGTACTTACTGCAGTTTTCACTTGGTATCCTTACTAGTTCAAAGCATTGTCTGCATAAATGCTACTGACAGCTGCACTCATTGCACCACACCCAGTTTCTATTCTTCTTGTTTTCTGCAAGTGCTGAGTCCTTACAACTCCTTGCTCTTCCAGGTTTGAGTCTACAACTCTTTCCTTTTAATATTACTTTGTGCTATAGAATTATAGTAGCTGGTTTTTGACAAATTAAGCAGATCACAGTGTGGTAAACAAGCTAGCTTCTGATCCTCTCCTCCTCCCATTCCCAGCATGAAAATAGCTAGGGCTGAAGCAACAGCTGGGGATCATTACACTGACAGGAATAGTTCAGTAAACTCCAAGAGGGGAAAACATGTCATATCCAAAAAAAACCAAAAAAAACCACATTAGGGCAGCAAGACTGAAAAAATATGTGAATTCAAGTCCAGGGATAATGCTATGACTCTCCCACTGATAAGGACTGGCTTATAAAAACCCTGGTGGTTCAGTGTTAACCCTTTCCCTAAGCTTCACACTCATGTTAGGAAGTTAACAAATACCCTGAGACACTTTTAAGTCTTCACAGTCAAAGAGGGCACACTGGGAATTAGGCATCTTACTGTCAACTTGGAGCTACCTCACATTAATACATCATTGTCATACCTTCACTGCTGGTCTTAAGAGTGGTTGCAACATGAGCTTACAGGGAGTGTAACTACACACCTTTGGTGTACCTCTTGATACACTGTAAGAGGTGACACTGGGTTGGCTCCCCAAACCTTCAACACATTTTCTATATTCTTCTGTGTCAGAACAATATTTGCATAAATAATTCTGAATCTAGCCATAATTCAGAGATGCACCTGTTGCTTTTTGTGACAGGTTTCTGATGTCTCTTATCCATGCAATTTGCATGAGGCATCACTTTGACGTCTCCCACATCATCTTCAGGTCCACTCTGAACTAGGAAGATGGAGATCAGCCTTTACAGAAAAATGTCACCCTGCATTCCTGTGAGATGCCTCAGCTGCAGGGGCTGCCCTCTTTGCTGGGGATCTCCTTGGTGTGGAGAGCTTCCAAGTCTACACGTGGAGGTTCTTCTGCCCTCTACTGGGTGAGGTACAGCCACCATCCAGCTTTACCTTCAGGTGTCTGGAGGCTATATGACAATAAGATCTAGATCACTCGTGAAGAAAGCCGTATGTTAACAAGCACTTGCATGACTCTTGATCTCTTCAAAGTACTGAACAGATATTAATAGTTTAATCAAAGGCTAAGCTAACTCAAATTACCTCACATTTGCTGTGGACCAAGAATGTCCACACAGTTACTGCAGATCGGATGGCATGTAGGAACTTGTTCGTGTGTCTGGGCCCTGAGACACAAATCTTGGAAAAAGACAGGTGAGTTTCACTGAAAGCCTCCGAGTCACAATCCACATTTTTGAAGGCAGGGTTTAATTCTAAGCTATACTCACATGAACGCTAATCAGTTTTTCAAAGTTTCTGAATCTTGCAGTTCCCTCTTCATATCTTTCATGAGGGGTGACAATACTGTTGTGTTAACTGGTCTAGGAACTGCAAACTGGGCTGTGGTATTTGAAAAATAAATAACTCCAAGGCATTCTTGAATAGAAAACATGTTTATGGATTCCTGAATTCTAGGAATTTTACAAATAACTGCCACAACACACACTTCAAAAAATACAGGCTGTATTCTTTCACTTCCCCATGACACATGCATTTCTGTGTGGAAAGGATCAGTAGTTCACAAACTTCAATGTCAAGTCCCAATTCAAAAAAATAAATCAGATTTAGGAGACCATCTGTTTTCCAGAGGCAAGGAAAAAACATTAAGTCTATTCCAGATAGCCACTTCTCATGAGATTAATTAATAGGTCTGAGCACTGTCAGCATAATACAGACATCCCTTACTTGCCAGGCTTTATAAAGAGGAGAAAGTAGACTGGCACCCCATCCACCTGTGGGTGGTAGACTGAGGAAGAGAAGTACATGAATTTTCTGTCCTGGGCAATAAAAAAACTAAGTTGTCCATTTTTAGGGAGACCAAAACTAAGGTACAACAGTAGTTATTGTTTCAGCTCAAAGCTAATTCTGTAATTCCAGAGCTTTCAAAAGGATTTAAATGTGAGTAGACCTGTTTCTCCACTGCCTGTAAGATTTGTTTCTGCAAAATACAGTGCACGCTACAGTATAAATAAAATGGGCATCCCAAGGCTGCAGGAGACTTGAATGCAGCAGCAGCAAAGCTAAAGGGTTATTCTTTTCTGACATGAAAGAAGCTGCCAGCACCTATTTATCTTCCCTGCCTTTCCTGTTTGGTAGCTGGTAGAAAGTAGCTTTCCTCATCACATATGATATTAGAGTATCATGAAGTAGACATGGGGTAGGCTGATGATATTGCTAGACTTTGCAGAGTCAACACAGCTTTTTCAATAATCAGAACGGTACAAGAATTCAATGACCTTAATTCACTTCAACTTGAGACCTTAGAATACATTTTTTTATTGATTACAGTACTAGAGAACTGCATTTTCCTCATTCTACATGTTATCCCACTGCAGAGCTTGTGATATTTAGTGACAGGATGAAAGATGTATCCTGGCACATCCAAAAGCATAACGTTCACCTTCTGTGAAAATCAATGCCTTGCAAATAAAAGACAGCTGCAAGTTCTGGCTTTTTTTTAAATTTGGTTTGGTTTTTTTTTCCTCTGAAGATTGATGTGCTGCAGTTCTTTGCCTCCAGAGCTGACAAAGTAATCTGGGAACACTGCCTATACTAACGGATTTATGACTCCCAAACTTGAATTTGAGGACTGTGACTTCAGTTTTCCTTTTCCATATTTGTTCATCAAAGAGTCTTCCAGTGAAAACAAGCAACAAAAATAGTAATATTTTTAAAAATCTCATAACAACCTAAATCTCAATATCTGTTACAGAGGCTTGGTAAGGGAAGTGACAGTAGAGGGTAAAAACTTAACCATTTTGTTTGGCATATTTAGCAGGCCTAGAACTGCACATGAAAGAAGAATCTTCTAAATGGAACTGTTAAAATTGTCTTCCACACACTGGCCATCTTTCTGCAACAGACATGGCCTTCTCCTATCTGGTTCTTCGTCCTCAACTCCCATCACCCTTTACTTTACTTTTCTGTCCAAAAGGTCACTGCAAGTAATTTTCCATTCCTCTTAGATCACATTACTTGCTCACAAAATTAATAATCACTTTATTTCTGAGGCCACTGTGCTAAAGATCTTCACACTCTCTTGCAAGTTCCTGTAGCTAGACAGATCCAGTATTTCTGATAAAACATAAATCTTATTATGTTTGCTATTAACATTTTGTTATGTTCTGTCATTCTTCCCAGTAATCTTTTCCCCATTCCTGTTTGTTGCTATTCACTATGCATGCATCACTGTCTGCTTTCATCTTAATCTTTTGTCTGTCCTTCCAGATCTTCTTCCCTCGTAGATACCACTCCCTGAAATATGACCTCTGTCTAAATAGCCTTTCAGAATTGTCAAACCCCCATAAAAATCATACATATTTGCAGAAGAATATCATTATCTAAAACAGAATCACATTTAGATATAAAGACCTCACTCTTCCCACACTCTCCGAAGATCGACATTCTGAAACTTAAAACATGATACTCTATTCCCTTCAGAGCTGCCACTCCAGAAAATCTTTAATAAAACAGCCTTAAAACATTGCTCACAAGAGCCCTGTAGACATAGGGAAGAGGTAGCAATTTAAACTCTGAAATTAAAACTTCCAAACGCAAGTGAAATCATCCCAAAGTCCAGGCACTACAAGTCACTACATACAGAGCTCCAACCTCATCCTCTGACAGGCTTATGAGCACCCTCAGGGACAACAGGTCACAGGAGTCAGTGGGAAACCCAAAATCTGGACTACTGCCCAGAAAAGAAAAATCAGGCAGATTCAACAGGCAAGAGGGAAAAAAAAATAAAAAAGAAAGAAAAAATACACAACCCACAGACCAACTACACAGTGCCTACAACGGAGAAAGCAGAGCCTGCTAACCTTCTCGTAAGCTGTGGTATGAATCCTGATATGTGCTTGAACAGCTCTTCCCTTGCTTTGACACAGCCTCTGCAAGCGGCACAATCCCAACATAGGCAGGCTGAAGTGTCTTGGCTTTATCCAACATATTAGAGGAAATTCCTGGACCTGAAGGCAGATTCTGTAACACAGGAGGCGTCCCAGGCTAGTGGAAGGGGTGCTTAATCCTCTCAAGAGACCCAATCACAATGCCTCTCTAGCAGGTTTCGGTGGCTGCACCCAGTGGGAGAGTGGAAAAAAAAAAATAAATTATTTTACTGCTAAATTCCAAGGCTGTGCTTGCATAGGAACAGAGAGGTAGTTGTGGCACAGACAAATCCTAACAGCCAACATCTAAAGATTAAAATCAGCAAGGCTCTTAGCGACACTTTTCTTCCTACTGTCTGAAAGCTCAGACAGAAACTTCACTGTTTCAGCAAGCAGCTATAAGCATTTAGGATCCCAGTATGCAGAGCGCTGCTTATCAACAGATGTGTGGACTTCTTTGTGGGGCCACTTGCTGTAACAGCCAACCTCATTCACCCAAAATAGTGAACAGTTGGTTTCTCTACTCACACTACAGACACCTGCCAGACAGGCAATATCATGTGATTGAGAACTACCCTCTCCCCCTGCACTCCCGACTGTAAGCACGCCGTGCACACAGCTCAGAGAACACCACCACACTATCTGCAGAAGCCACACTGCCCTTTGTCCCCTCCTGTTTAAACTATTAGAAGTGGAATTTTAGTTGTGAAGAAAGCCAAAATGGTGATACGGAAAACAAGACTTCTTATATGCATTTGCTGACACCACATATAAGTAACAGCAGGCAACTTCTGTACAAGCACACATTCTCATCTCTTCTCCCATCAATAAATCCTTTCTCCCAACCTAGTAGAAACACCTACCTGAAGATACTCAGCAGCCTCCAATCTAAAAACTAAAACAAAAATTTCAGTAAAACTTCAGAACCTGTGTTTGTATGGAAGCAGTTGTTTCACCTGGAGCTTATTTAATGTCCATCATGAACAGATGTCATATGGTTGACAAACTTTAGTTATACATAACACCTAGCATGGCACTGGAATTGCCAGTGGCCAGGAAAGAGCACACTCCATTCAAGCAACAGCCAGGAGGTACTCTCACCAGTACAGCTGGTGGCTTTGTTGTGTTTTCATCTCGCCGAGCACGCATCTTAAAAGGTGCAATGAATTCTGAAGGGGGAAAAAAAGAAAACAAACCAAGAGAGCTGTCAAATGAATATACATACCTGAAGATAAGTATTATGATATCTTTCCAGGGAAAAAAAAAATTAAAAAATAAAAAAATCTATGTCATCCTGCAAGCCTGAAGAAAAGATAGCCACATGGACATTACAAAAATAAGAAGGTGAATACTCTATACACTACTGGAACAGTCTCCAGTGCCCCCTGCCCCCCCACCACCACCAATCATGACAAAAATTTCTCATCTCTAAATAGTTTGAGAAGCATTCAATTAATTTTATAAAGCAAGGCTAGAATAACAACCACGAATAACAAAGCTACTGTTTAAGAAAAGTGGTGTTCAACCAAATTTAAAACCCACAACTTTAACTCTGCCATAAGCTGCACTAGAGAAACAAAACAATCTGACTTATTTTAAAGTTACCTACTAAAAACTAATATACCAAATTTTACACGTTTACTAAATAACAATACCAGATGGCATCAGTGACATTTCTGAGTACCTTCAACATACTCTTCTTACTTCAAAATGTTCAACCTTCTCTCAGAAAAGAATCCAAACTCTAAAGTTCCTGTTGGTTAAAAAATCCTTTTGGGGACAATATAAAGCTCCATAATCTCATTATTCCTAAATTGCAAGTGTATACTCAACACAAACTCTCATCTTAAATTTAGGATTTGTAAAAGTCAAGTAAAGGTTCAGTTTCACGATGACCTTTGGCCAATAAGGTCAAATTACTGCATACATAGATGAGACCACTTTTGCACGAGCATTAGCAGTCATGACGCTGTGGAAAGCTGCCTCAGAAAGCTGCCTGGCAAACCACAAGAGGGCTGGAGCCAGGATGGAGATGGGGGAGAAGGAAACACACTGTACAGATCTCCCCTTTCAGCAGCAACACAGAACTGCATCTTGAATCAGGCCTCACACGCTGTGTAGACAAGCCCCACAATTACTGTAATAACTAAAGAACAACTCTCTGTGCCAGACTGAGTCCTACTTCTTCTAGCAAGCAGTACACCATCTGGATGGTGGAAATGGCAAGATTCAGCTCAGACAGCAAATACTGCTATTACTTTGCCAACCAGGGTCTCCAAGCTAGCAGCTCACTACAGTGTACAAAGCCTGGGAAATGGGGACCAGTTGCTCTATCCAGCTGACTCACCAAGACCCAAATATTGCCAAAACAGCACAAAGATGTTGCCAAAGTACTGAAAGAGAGGCACCAAACAACTAATAATACATTATATTGCCAGTTTTGGCGATCTGATGATATAACCAATCCTCTGTTGCTATAATTGACAACTCCAACTTCATGAAGATTGTATTATTGTATCAATGTATTATTGCAGTGCTGCAGATAAGTATGTAGACATACCTTTCCTCCTAAGCAGAAAACAGCTTGGAAAGAAAAACACCTGACTGGCTCAATGGCAGGTAGATAAATCTTTTCTTTCCTGACCAAGATATCATAATTTTTTTTTCCTACACCATCATATTTGTTGTACAGAATTATTTAATGTTTTGAAAGAAGAAGCAACTATCCAGAACAGAAAAAGATGGGCCAGAACACTGAGAAGGACCTGGATAATGCCCTACATGCTGTAAAAGGACAAACTGCAAGGGGTCCATGTTGAAGGAAATATTCAACACAAATAAGTGCTTGTGGAGTACCTCCTTGCAAGATATTGATTCTGACAGATGAGTAAAGACCAAAAGCAACCTGTCTTGTATGAAACACTGACACTACTGCCACACATTGATGGGCATCAAGAAGTTAAACAAAAGCTTAATTTGTTTTATTTGATCCCAATGTACCGGGAAGAGATCTGAAAGTCTGATCCATGATCACACAGACAGAAACACTTCTTATAGTGCATTGACAAGTCCTGATGAGTAACTTTGACAGTTACTTTGGAAATCAGCAAGACAGAAAGGAAGGTCCATTTCATGGCAGAGGTAGGATTTCCAGTAAGTGTTTCAGTTGTGCAACCACTCCAGAAGAGTAGGATCAGCAAACACCAATCCATCTCCAACATTCAGTGTCTTGCACAACCTTTACCCTGGGATTGGCAGTAGTGCTGTTGACAGCAAGATCATCTTTATGAACAGAACCTAGGTATTTGCCACAGATTTATGGTTTGGAAAACAGCAGGCCCAAATTTCATAATCCATCCACAAGACAATTATTGAGCCTTACATTCTTTGACTTTTAAGCATGAAATTGAGATACAGACTGGGAATGTACAGATACAGACTGGGAATTCTTCCGCAAGATGGTTAATTACTATTTATACCTTCACACAGAAGTAAAAAGTAACATCAGGTGCACATATGGCTTGCAGAGACATTGCTGCTAGTTCTGAGGCCTGGTGGACAAAGAATGCAGTATTTGTGTTTGAATGCCAGTTATAATTAATTATTATTTTGAACAGATTCATCAACTTTGTCTTCTTCTGTTTTTCTATCCCCACAAGCTAAGACAAGCAGCATATTTTTCAAATTTCCATTCTGTGCTAGAAGAGAAATAAGGAAGAGTGAACCCCCCTCAAGTAAAGTCCTAACCCTGCTGTAGACATTTGACCTTAAATTCCAGGAACACATCAGATTTTGCCTCTGCAAAGTTAGCATCAGACTAAGATGCTACAGTACTACAGCTTAAAAGAACCCTCCCTCCAAGTTCACCTTCTCCTGTCCTGTTTCCAGCCACACACATACAGTCCTTAAAACTAGTTCTGACATTCATCTGGTATCTTAATGACCTCATTCAACCTACTGAACAGCATAAACAACATACCAACAGGTGGGATGAGCACCAACACTTGTGACTGGTGAACACTGCTGGGAAGAGAGAGACAACACCAGTCTTGACACAGGCTAAACTTTGGATCAGCTAAACTTCAACATAAAACTTGCATCATTAATTCACCAAAACCAAATGTATTCTTTAAATTCAAATGAATGAGCAGATAAAAAATTTTCTGACAACCCATTCACACCAAATTAAAATGTGCTTTTTTTTTGCTCCTTTCACCTCCATTCCTCACTGCAGCAGGTCCTCTGTCTTCCTTACACCGCTAATAATGCTCTCACATTACACAGTATCAGACAACACAGTATCTTCAGGGATCTGCATGAACACAATTTAGAGATGAAATCCAAACATTGTCCTGCTAAAAACTGGCAAACAGCTGCAATATATGCACACCAAGGCAACACGAGAATGACCTCAGTCAAGGTCTAAGCCAGATGCACCCTTAGCAAGAAGGATGAGCCCACTGTATTTGAAGATGTCTCTGATATTTCTAGGAAGCAGACAAAGGCTGGAAAAACAGTAGAATGCTGCACCTACATCAAGGTAAAGCTTTGATATCTTATTACTTTATTAATTTTATACTTCAAAATAAATACAGACTTCACACTGACAATTGTGTCGCTTACTTTTTCTCAGCTAAGGATCACATTTATGTAATATGAGTTTGCTTCGGATATTCCCAGGATCCTGCCTCCCACCAGCAATGACCTTCAGGAAGAAGCAGAAACACCAGGCTGGGAGCACTGTACACTCTTGCTTCTCCATCCCTCAGGAGAAGCCTGAAGTTTACATACTCTGATCTTTTCAACTAGCTGGAGACAGCTAGTGCTGCAGTCAGCATTTAGAAAGCTCCTAGACATGACAGGTAGCCAAAGGTAAACCACGGTGCAGATGTAAAAGAAGGCAACAGCAGCAGGCACGCCTGGGAACCTGGACCTTTGCCGTAGCTTTTGAGTGGCTCTTCAGTCCCCCAGCCCACTCTGGGATATACCTACACTCCCACTTTTGGCAAGTTGGCTGTCACTGAGCTGTAAATACTGCGAGTTGAAAGCATAAAAATAGCT